GTCAACCAAGGGGTGGACCCATATTACGTGAGGACATCGGCCGACTAACTACAGGAATTGCGCTACAACGGTACAGCTCATCGTCCGCTTAACATATCAATCTCGAAGGGGGTATGAAAAGGCGATACCGTGTCACCAAAACTGTTTCCACCGCCGTGCAATGGGTGATGAAATCACGATTGGAACGAGAGATATACAAGCTGATGGGAGACTCCTCTCCAACCGTTTTGCAGACGACATTGTTCTCTTATCGAGAAAAATCACAGAAGCGGAGACTATGTTAAGGGAACTAAACGAAGTAGGAAAACGGGTTGAACTGCGAATCAACCGGAAGAAGACTCAGTTCATAAAGAACACTTTTGGCGAGGATCAGGAAATGGAATTAGAAGGCTCTCTCGAGCAGATGTCTTCTTATGCATATCTTATTTGGAGAACGATGAAGAACTAAACAGCAGGCAAAGAGCAGCTTGGGCCGCCTTTAAGCCCCTAAGGCACAGAGCAACTGACGGACCCGAGCTCCGAGCTCTACTGTTCGATTCAACTTTTCTCCCTGCGCACTGCTACGCAGCAGAGACGTGGCCTGACACTGTGGCTGCATCAAAGATTCTCCGGACAACACACAGAGCGCTGGAAGGACGTCTTCTGAAGTACTAGTGACGCACTCAACATCTCGTTGGACTTCGCAGTTCAGATATGAGATCAATTCATCTTCGCGATCCAGCGGAATACGTCTCTAAGACAAAGCATGATGTGCTGGTCATGTAATGAAAAGGACAGACGACAGATGGACACTAAGAACGCTGAAATGGATTCCTCGCGAAGCAAAACGTCTTCGAGGGAGGCCACCGACCAAATGAGCTGACGTGTTCGTTGCACGGATGGATCAGCTGCTCAGCTGGTAACGAGTAATGGATCTGGACCTCGCGAGCGTCGTCGCCGCAGTTCAACACCATCATCGTAGATGACGCTAGCGAAAACGAGAAACGGATGGAAACAGTGCTGTGGCCTGCACGGAGTGAAGACAGGCCATCTAAGTATCTAAGTAAGTAAGTAATAGCTTCACACGTTTAGCATTCCTGTTTTTTTTTTGTGGAAACAGTCGAATTGGATTTCTAGGCTAAGCAGTGTTAATGATTTTGCTCTAATTTTTTAATGGAAAACGTTTATGATTTACATTTAACAAAAAGTAGAAATTCATCAGAGAACCTTTTCCCTTTTTCAGTTTATTTGATACACCTCCAGATAACTCAGTTTCAGTAAATGCCCTG